TTTTCCAGCCCCCGCGGCCATTTTGAATCACTCCATGAAAGCCCATTTTTTGGCCCATTAGTTAGAACAGCGGAGATAGGCGTGACTACGTCTGTTAATATTTACAGTCTATGGTCAGGACAGGTCATCACACAACAGGAAGTAGGACTAAAGAAGGCAGGTAACAAAATAAAACAGGAACTAAAGCTAAACCACGACAGTATCTTAAACCACGGCACAGTCTGTAACCAGCGATCCCAGCAGCCGTGAAGGCAGAGCTGAAGACACGCTTCCCTCTGCTCGGTGTGAAAACCCGGACAGTGAGTGACGCTGACACTCTCCGCAGGCCTCCTCCGGGGCTAACGCTCGCTGAGGCTTTAAACTCGCGGTTTGGTGAAATGTGGCGAGGTCAAACTGTGTCACGGGAATCTACCCGGAGCACATACTTTAGTCTGGGTTTGCTGCATAATGTATCAGGCACTAGGTTTGTGTGCAACGTACAAAAGCTTCCCCCGACCACTGTGTCTTCATGTTTTCTGAAAATAAAACTAAAAACCTCACAATTACATTCGCATATTTTTTCAAACCTCATTCAATTCAATTCAATGTATTTTTGTATCGCCCTGAATCACAGCAGCAGTGATCTCAGAGGACTTTACAGAGCTGTCGATTCACCAACACAGATCAGAGAATCAGGCAGTTCAGGGAACGCAAGGATGAAAACACACACACTGTAAAAGTGATAAAAAACAAGTAAAAAATAGATAATTTATTGAGCCCTGTTGGAGAAATGCAGGTGTCCAGTAGCAGCAAAAACACATCCATCCACACTAAAAAAACAAATGAATGGATCATTCTAAAGATCTAACAATAGTAATAATCAGCAGCAGTCTCAGGTCCCAGCAGCAGAGATAGAGCTCTGCTCTGGTCTGGACCAGTGTAAAACCATGAATCCTCTCTGCTCTGGTCTGGACCAGTGTAAAACCATGAATCCTCTGTGCTCTGGTCTGGACCAGTGTAAAACCATGAATCCTCTGCTCTGGTCTGGACCAGTGTGAAACCATGAATCCTCTGTGCTCTGGTCTGGACCAGTGTAAAACCATGAATCCTCTGCTCTGGTCTGGACCAGTGTGAAACCATGAATCCTCTCTGCTCTGGTCTGGTGCTGTTTCATTCAAAAGTAAACTAGTTCATAAAAGTAAACAGTAAAACAGCTCATATTTCACAAAATATATCTTAATTTGAGCAAATGTTTTAAATCAAGATTTGCAAAATGATCTTGTAAAAAGATACAAGAAATGTCCTCTGAGAAAATACTGTTGTGATTTAGGGCTATACACAAATACATTGAATTGATGTGATGTCCACTGTTGTTAAGTTGAATTATAAATGGATCTTTAAACAAACGTGACCAGATTCACCTGAACACATCGGCATATGTTCTATTCTGTTATTGTCACCTGTACAGATGCTTTTATTTGGATCTTATTTCCTGGACTGGTGTAAAATCATGTAATTATTGACGTCAAGGTCTTTTCCAAACCAAAGATTACAAAAACACGTCACACTCAATCCTGGCTCAGAAGTGGACAAAATATCCTCACTTTTTCAATCAATCCGCGCCCCACAAACACTATGCGTTCCTCCGTTTGACCTTGCCATCCCTGAGAATTGGGAGCACGATGGTTAATTGGCATATCTTTGGTCGCGCCGCCCTATTAGCGAACGCACTCGTCCAATGAACGCCGGGAAGTCTGGCGGAGGAGGCTTTCTGAGCTGTCTGAGGCTGTCGGTAGCAAGCAGTTACATAAGACGCCGTACCTTGAGCAAATGAGGGCCAGAGGCAAACAAACACGCAGTGACACCTCGGCTGGCAACGGCATCTGCTGCACGGGCCCCCGGGGGACTCTGACCGGGAGCATCTGTCAGTCGCGGACGCCGGCGGAGGATGAGAACGAGGAGAACGAGGAGAGAGGGAGATAGTCGCGCGGACACCTTTGCTTTTGTTGCAGACCTCTCATTACGCAGGTCGGGTTCAGAGCCCGCAACTCCAGGGACGACGGGAATAACATGCAAACATGTGACGTAAAAGAAGTTCCTATTGATGAAATACACAACACTGCACAAAATGATCAAATATGAGGAAATAGTTGCTTCAATCGAGTGGTTTTTGTCTTGATTTGAGCACATTCTGCCAATGGGACAAAGTCAGTTAGTTATTCCTTATTTTCTCATTCCAAGGGAGACATTTATTGTATCATGTTTGATACAATATAATTCTGCACGTCCCGTCGGTGAATCTTGTTTTAAGGCTCAGTCAAAATGGGCTCAAAGTGAAATACATTTGACCAAATTTGAGCAATTTTTATCTAATTTTTAATGACAATATGCAGTGTATTTACTCAGAACGAGCAGAGTTTGTGGCAGTAAAGTGTGGATTTAAAGAAAACCGAAGGTTTTAAGAAGAAAACAAGTTCAGGATGACAAGGGACACTAACATCCCCACAAAATCTGACCTTTGTTCTCTGTCAGGTTCTCTGTCAGGTTCTCTGTCAGGTTCTTTGTCAGGTTCTCTGTCAGGTTCTCTGTCAGGTTCTCTGTCAGGTTCTCTGTAGGTTCTCTGTCAGGTTCTTTGTCAGGTTCTCTGTCAGGTTCTTTGTCAGGTTCCCTGTAGGTTCTCTGTCAGGTTCTCCGTAGGTTCTCTGTCAGGTTCTCTGTCAGGTTCTCTGTCAGGTTCTCTGTCTGGTTCTCCGTAGGTTCTCTGTCAGGTTCTCTGTCAGGTTCTTTGTCAGGTTCTCTGTCAGGTTCTCTGTCAGGTTCTCTGTAGGTTCTCTGTCAGGTTCTCTGTCAGGTTCTCTGTAGGTTCTCTGTCAGGTTCTCTGTAGGTTCTCTGTCAGGTTCTCTGTCAGGTTCTCTGTAGGTTCTCTGTCAGGTTCTCTGTAGGTTCTCTGTCAGGTTCTCTGTCAGCTTCTCTGTAGGTTCTCTGTAGGTTCTCTGTCAGGTTCTCTGTCAGGTTCTCTGTCAGGTTCTCTGTAGGTTCTCTGTCAGGTTCTCTGTAGGTTCTCTGTCAGGTTCTCTGTAGGTTCTCTGTCAGGTTTTCTGTCAGGTTCTCTGTCAGGTTCTCTGTCAGGTTCTCTGTCAGGTTCTCTGTCAGGTTCTCTGTAGGTTCTCTGTCAGGTTCTCTGTAGGTTCTCTGTCAGGTTCTCTGTCAGCTGAGGTTGAGCTGTTTTAGTTTACATTGAGTTCTATGGGGAACATTTCTGTGTAGCCCGGGTGAATTTAGTCTGGTCTAGTCTGGTCTAGTCTGGTCTAGTCTGGTCTAGTCTGCAGTACTGTGAGAATCCCCCGAGCACATGGTCCTTCAGCTCCAAGCTGTAACACTGTATCCAGTTGTTATAATAGGTCCATGATCCAGCCTGTGTGATGTGAGGTTTTGCAGCTCAGACTGTACAATGAACAATAGGCACTTTTTATTATGCTAACGTTAGCAATTTTATAATGACTTCTTCTCTATAATTCTTTATTACGCCAAAGCCAGAGATGTTGTTTTATTTCAGTTATTGTTCACTTACATTGTGCTCCTCATTCCTTCTGTTCTGTAACCGGTGATGCAACACTGACATTTCCCACTGTGGCACAAATAAAGGATCTCTTCATATTTTCCCAAATGTCAGGAAAGAACTGCCCTCTGCACTTTTTCAACAAAACTCTCTGGTCTTATTTGACGAGCACGAATGTTTCTTGTTGGAGAAATGTTGAGTGAAGGATGCAGTAATCTCTGTCAAACACTGTCAGATCCTGAAGCTCCGTCTGACAAACACAGAAACGTCAGAAACGTCATCAGCGAGATCGCTCCGGAACCTCCAAATCCTTCAAAAGTAGCAACACATTTAGACATTTGTGCAAAACGACACAGAAGTTCAGGATGTGGACACTTGGAGACCGGGGTTCAGGTTTTAGACTTTAGGGTTTGTTTTTGATGAGGTCTCATGAGGGTTTGATGTTTGTGGTTTTGTATTTTAATCTGTAGCACTTTGAGGTTTCCTGGAAATGTAAGGTGCAATATAAATAACATGTATTATTATTATATTATTATTAATATTATAAATGAGTTCCCAATTCATATAATTTGCCTTAGGGTTATACATTAACTGATTGACTGCCATTGACGTATTTGTCTGGGAGCCTCTATTTGACTGCGGATTACAGGACAACACAAACAGCTAGAAACAAACTTATTTTTGCTGATGAAAGTAGATAATCCAGTCTTTCAGAATCTGGTTTCATATTTCACATAGTCTGAGGAAATAATATTCTGTGGGTCTTGAGAATCAGTGAAATCATAAAAAACGGCAGCAGTCAATGAGTTAATAAGAATTTGGATAAGAGGATAAGAAGTGAGCAAAAAATGTATTGTTTGAGCAAATATGTATTTTGAGTTCCTTGGGCAAGAGTCGTTGTGTCCTTGGGCAAGACACTTAACCCCACTTTGCCTGAAGCCCCCACTGAAAGATCAAGGCTATGCTCACACTCAGAGAGCAGCCGTCCTCCTGTGGACTCACCACCTGCAGAGGGTCAGTGAGGGGCTGGTGCTATGAGACTTGGGTGGCATCTCTGACTGCCACCCCCCTGACCCAGAAATGGATTAAAGGGTAGAAGATGGATGGATGGATGGATGGTATTTTGAGTTGGAAATCAGTTTGTAATATGTATTTTATTTTGTTTTCTGATTTGTCTGAAGGACCTGTGCAGAGTGGGATCTCAGGACGGGCGACAAAACCAAGTAGCTTCAGCCCAATCCTTTTTTGAACGTAACAGTCAGTGAATGTAAAATCTGTTATTAACAAAACCATTGACCAAACTTAAATACACTCAGGACTGGTAAAAAAAACAATTCACATTTTTGCTTCGAAGAACAAGCTAAGGAGTTCCACTGTGACGGACTGGCTGAGGTTCTTGCACATGGTAAAGGAGGAACCAAGGTTTTTAAACTGTAGAGGTGAAGATGATGAAGATGAAGCTGACTTCAGACTCCGCTCTGCACAGATGGGAACACACATTTACATATTGCTTTTACATCTGATAATAATGCACTTGATCGGTATTACACTGCAAAAAGTGATGACAAAGAAGTCCAGAAAATCTCACATTTAGCAAAACGAATCTTAATCTGAGCACATTCTGACTGAGCCTTAAAACAAGATTTGCCAAAAGGCAAATAAGACTAAATGGCTTCGTCCCATTGGAGAATCTTGATCAACACAGTCACAATGTGTCAGATTAAGATTAAAACCACTCAATTCAAGCATTTGTCACCTCATGCTTTATCCTTTTCTGCAGTGTTCCATTCTGTGTGGGTGCCAGATATGTCCACTTTCCCCTTAGAACCACAGATCTGCTCCATAATCAACATTTATGAACGTTTATGAACACTTCTGGACACTTCCTCTGGCCCTCATAGACCTCTGATCTGTGTCGGAGAATCCACAGCTTTTTAAAGTCCTCCGAGATGAGGCTGATGTGGTTTAGGGCTGTACAAAAACAAATGGAATTGAATTGACACTTTCGGCCTCAGCACTTCTGACCAAGATGGAACCTGCTGTGAACAGACTCAAGTGATAAGTTTGAGACGGAGACGTTCTCTGTGACGCAGATAATGGACTGTTTTATTGTTGAGAAAAGTGGTACTGCAGCCTCTCCCACTCTCCCTGACTAAGGTTGCCAGATATGCAGACGAATCCAGCTGGGGCCATAACAGCTGAATAGACAAGAGTTTTGTCAACAACAAATCTATAACCAACACCTTTTTCACAAAGATAGAAATCCTGGTTTTATTATTCATGATTTGAGAACTTCTGTGCCAGTCACAGTTTGTCCATCACGAACACCATGTTCGAGCACAAGGGTGTCCACCAGTGCACGTGGCAACAGGACACCCTAGGCCGGAGGTCGATGATCCACTTTGTTGTCGTATTATCTGACCTTCGGGGGAAGCAGTTCTTTGCCAACACTGTGTACGGTGCGGGTGGAGAGCTGCTGACCTCGACTGGGGATATTGTCGGGCGGTGGAAGGAATACTTTGAGGTTCTCCTCAATCCCCCGTCACGTCCTCTGTTACAGAGGCAGAGGCTGAGGATGTTGGGGCGGGTACATCCATCTCCCTGGCTGAGGTCACCAAGGTGGTTGGTAGCCTCCATGGTGGCAAGGCGCCGGGTGTGGATGAGATCCGTCCTGACTATCTAAAGTCTCTGGATGTTGTAGGACTGTCTTGGCTGACACGTCTCTGCAACATTGCGTGGCGATCGGGGGCGGTGCCAATGGAGTGGCAGACCGGGGTGGTGGTCCCTCTCTACAAGAAGGGGGACCGGAGGGTGTGTTCCAATTATCGTGGGATCACACTCCTCAGCCTCCCCGGTAAGGTCTACTCCAAGGTACTGGAGAGGAGGCTACGGCCGAATCTCGGATTCAGGAGGAGCCCCGGCCGTGGAACACTGGACCAGCTCTATACTCTCCATCGGATACTCGAGGGTTCATGGGAGTTCGCCCAACCTGTCCACATGTGCTTTGTAGATTTGGAGAAGGCGTTTGACTGTGTTCCCCGGGGTGTTCTTTGGGGGGTTCTCCGGGAGTACGGGGTCGGAGGTCCTCTGCTGAGGGCCATCCGATCCCTGTGACCGGAGCCAGAGCTGTGTCCGCATTGCCGGCAGTAAGTCAGACCTGTTCCCGGTGCATGTTGGCCTCCGCCAGGGCTGCCCTTTGTCACCGGTTCTGTTCACTGTATTTATGGACAGAATATCTAGGCGCAGCCAGGGGCCGGAGGGGGTCCGGTTCGGAGACCACAGGATTTCATCTCTACTTTTTGCGGATGATGTCGTCCTGTTGGCTCCAACGAACCAGGACCTGCAGCATGCACTGGGACGGTTTGCAGCCGAGTGTGAAGCGGCTGGGATGAGAATCAGCACCTCCAAATCCGAGGCCATGGTGCTCGACCGGAAAAAGGTGCCTTGCCCTCTGCAGGTGGGTGGAGAGGTCCTTCCTCAAGTGGAGGAGTTCAAGTATCTCGGGGTCTTGTTCACGAGTGAGGGAAGGATGGAGCGTGAGATTGACAGGCGGATCGGTGCAGCGTGCGCAGTGATGCGGTCGCTGTATCGGACCGTTGTGGTAAAGAGGGAGCAGCGTCTGCAGTCAGAGCTGTATCGGACCGTTGTGGTAAGGAGGGAGCAGCGTCTGCAGTCAGAGCTGTATCGGACCGTTGTGGTAAAGAGGGAGCAGCGTCTGCAGTCAGAGCTGTATCGGACCGTTGTGGTAAAGAGGGAGCAGCGTCTGCAGTCAGAGCTGTATCGGACCGTTGTGGTAAAGAGGGAGCAGCGTCTGCAGTCAGAGCTGTATCGGACCGTTGTGGTAAAGAGGGAGCAGCGTCTGCAGTCAGAGCTGTATCGGACCGTTGTGGTAAAGAGGGAGCAGTGTCTGCAGTCAGAGCTGTATCGGACCGTCGTGGTAAAGAGGGAGCAGCGTCTGCAGTCAGAGCTGTATCGGACCGTTGTGGTGAAGAGGGAGCAGCGTCTGCAGTCAGAGCTGTATCGGACCGTTGTGGTAAAGAGGGAGCTGAGCCGAAAGGCAAAGCTCTCGATTTACCGGTCAGTCTTTGTTCCCTCCCTCACCTATGGTCATGAGCTTTGGGTAATGACCGAAAGAACGAGATCGCGGATACAAGCGGTCGAAATGAGCTTCCTCCGCAGAGTGGCTGCTCCCTTAGAGATAGGGTGAGGAGCTCAGTCACACGGGAGGAGCTCGGAGTAGAGCCGCTGCTCCCTTAGAGATAGGGTGAGGAGCTCAGTCACACGGGAGGAGCTCGGAGTAGAGCCCCTGCTCCTCCACGTCGAGAGGAACCAGTTGAGGTGGCTCGGGCATCTGTTCCGGATGCCTCCTGGACGCCTCCCTGGGGAGGTGTTTACTGTTTGTTTACTGTTTTTTAAAATTTGTTTTATTTTTGTCTTTTAATGTTGTTTTGTGTCTGTACTTGTCCTGTGCACACTGGGAACTCATACAAATGTATTCCAATGTAGTTTACTGCAAATGGCATAATAAATGAATCTGAATCTGAAAGGTGTTCCGGGGAAGACCCAGGACACGCTGGAGGGACTATGTCTCTCAGCTGGCCTGGGAACGCCTTGGGGTCCCCCCGGACGAGCTGGATGAAGTGTGTGTGGATAGGGAAGTCTGGGCGTCTCTGCTTAGACTGCTGCCCCCGCGACCCGGCAACGGATGAAGCGGAAGACAATGGATGGATGGATGGATGGATAAATATTAAAATATAGTCTAATGTTTAAATGAATACATTCGGACGCGAAACTAGCGGTATTATTTTACCTATATATTGTGTTAGCAGTGCGTTGCTTTAGAACCATTTCATCAGTGATTGTTGTACAGCTTACAAGAAGTTGTGCTAATGCTAATGTTAGCATACGTATCAGATCGCAAATTGAACTAGCTCTGTTATGGTAGTGTAGGGGAAATGAGAAGCCATTGAGCGAGTTGGGGGCGGGGCTAAACATTGAAACCTGCAGAAACGGGTATAGCTCCTTTAACAAAAGACAAAATGACAAACAATGCAGTGATACAAACATAAACCCAAACTCAGTGAACGGCCATTCAACGCTAACACGTGTTTCAGATCAATCATTCTGCACAAGTACGATGTATAGAAACGGTTTTCACAGTGTTCACAGTGAAAAAGCAACCAGTTGTAAACTACATAAAACAGTTTCTCAGCCCGCGGCACGGTTCATGGAGAACCCACTCTGGGTCTGCCCAGAACCCACTCTGGGTCTGCCCAGAACCCACTCTGGGTCTGAGCAGAGCCCACTCTGGGTCTGCCCAGAACCCACTCTGGGTCTGAGCAGAACCCACTCTGGGTCTGCCCAGAACCCACTCTGGGTCTGCCCAGAACCCACTCTGGGTCTGCCCAGAACCCACTCTGGGTCTGCCCAGAACCCACTCTGGGTCTGCCCAGAACCCACTCTGGGTCTGCCCAGTCGACCAGTGGGAGGCGGTGCACCAGAGTGTGTGAGGTGTGGATGAGTGGGTGGCAAAAGTTCTGTGCGAAGTGGGGAGAGAGTTAGTGGATGTTGACACACGTATGACGAGGACGCGGGTGACACACGTATGACGAGGACGCGGGTGACACACGTATGACGAGGACGCGGGTGACACACGTATGACGAGGACGCGGGTGACACACGTATGACGAGGACGCGGGTGACACACGTATGACGAGGACGCGGGTGACACACGTATGACGAGGACGCGGGGTGACACACGTATGACGAGGACGCGGGTGACACACGTATGACGAGGACGCGGGTGACACACGTATGACGAGGACGCGGGTGACACACGTATGACGAGGACGCGGGTGACACACGTATGACGAGGACGCGGGTGACACACGTATGACGAGGACGCGGGTGACACACGTATGACGAGGACGCGGGTGACACACGTGTGACGAAGACGCGGGTGACACACGTATGACGAGGACGCGGGTGACACACGTATGACGAGGACGCGGGTGACACACGTATGACGAGGACGCGGGTGACACACGTATGACGAGGACGCGGGTGACACACGTATGACGAGGACGCGGGTGACACACGTATGACGAGGACGCGGGTGACACACGTATGACGAGGACGCGGGTGACACACGTATGACGAGGACGCGGGTGACACACGTATGACGAGGACGCGGGTGACACACGTGTGACGAAGACGCGGGTGACACACGTATGACGGAGGACGCGGGTGACACACGTGTGACGAGGACGCGGGTGACACACGTATGACGAGGACGCGGGTGACACACGTATGACGAGGACGCGGGTGACACACGTATGACGAGGACGCGGGTGACACACGTATGACGAGGACGCGGGTGACACACGTATGACGAGGACGCGGGTGACACACGTATGACGAGGACGCGGGTGACACACGTATGACGAGGACGCGGGTGACACACGTATGACGAGGACATTAAATCCACTTTGTTAGACGTGATGTCACATGAAACCATGTGTTTCTGTCTGAAGCCTCAGGTTACTCTGTTTTTATTTATTTATTTATTTGATGGGGACAAATAACCTGCTCTTACCTGGTCTCACCTGGTCTCACCTGGTCTCACCTGGTCTTACCTGCTCTTACCTGGTCTTACCTGGTCTTACCACACCATGGTACTCATTTCATTTGTTCTAAGGTCTGGATTGTCTCCATTGACTCCGTTACCAGGTGGGAGGGGCTAACTCCTTTTGCAGATTGAAACCATCTGAGTTTCAATCTGACGAATGTAATGAGCCCGAGTGAGTGAGGCATTTAGCATTTAGCCTAGCTTTAGCATTTAGCCTAGCTTTAGCATGTTTCCTAGCTTTAGCATGTAGCCTAGCTTTAGAATGTTTCCTAGCTATAGCATGTAGCCTACCTTTAGAATGTTTCCTAGCTTTAGCATTTAGCCTAGCTTTAGCAGTTAGCCTAGCATTAGCATTTAGCCTAGCTTTAGCAGTTAGCCTAGCATTAGCCATCTCCTTTGCTAACGGAGCCCGTGGGGAGTAGAGCCACAACATCTTTGCTTCAGTGACATTTACTAAACATTCCTCTTGCTCCGGCTTCAGTTTCTTCATATTTGGATTGAACCAGAACAGATTATTTTACTATCACAGTCTTCATGGTCCAGAGTTTACACATGGTAAGACCAGACGTACATGTAGGATATGATCATGGACCAGAGTTTACACATGGTAAGACCAGACGTACATGTAGGAGATTATCATGGACCAGAGTTTACACATGGTAAGACCAGACGTACATGTAGGAGATGATCATGGTCCAGAGTTTACACATGGTAAGACCAGACGTACATGTAGGAGATGATCATGGACCAGAGTTTACACATGGTAAGACCAGACGTACATGTAGGAGATGATCATGGACCAGAGTTTACACATGGTAAGACCAGACGTACATGTAGGAGATGATCATGGTCCAGAGTTTACACATGGTCACTTCCTCATTATAAAAAGGCAGAAACTTGTCAATGATTGGTTCGAGTCTAAAACCAGCTCAGTCCAGTTTAAGTCCGGACTTAGATCCAGACTCTTCGACCTTTGGCATTAATTCCACGGAGAAAGAATCCAATCCCAGACAAACACCAAAGTCAACAACACTAATCCACACATGGTCCAATCAGGGACAAGCAGGACATCAAAGGACCAGGGAGAGACCAGAGAGAGACCAGCGAGAGACCAGAGAGAGACCAGAGAGAGACCAGAGAGAGACCAGAGAGAGACCAGAGAGAGAGACCAGAGAGAGACCAGAGAGAGACCAGAGAGAGACCAGAGAGAGACCAGAGAGAGACCAGCGAGAGACCAGAGAGAGACCAGAGAGAGACCAGAGAGAGAGACCAGAGAGAGACCAGAGAGAGACCAGAGAGAGACCAGAGAGAGAGACCAGAGAGAGAGACCAGAGAGAGACCAGAGAGAGACCAGAGAGAGACCAGAGAGAGACCAGAGAGAGACCAGGGAGAGACCAGAGAGAGACCAGAGAGAGACCAGGGAGAGACCAGAGAGAGACCAGAGAGAGACCAGGGAGAGACCAGAGAGAGACCAGAGAGAGACCAGCGAGAGACCAGAGAGAGACCAGAGAGAGACCAGAGAGAGAGACCAGAGAGAGACCAGAGAGAGACCAGAGAGAGACCAGAGAGAGACCAGAGAGAGACCAGAGAGAGACCAGAGAGAGACCAGCGAGAGACCAGAGAGAGACCAGAGAGAGACCAGAGAGAGAGACCAGAGAGAGACCAGAGAGAGACCAGAGAGAGACCAGAGAGAGACCAGAGAGAGACCAGGGAGAGACCAGAGAGAGACCAGAGAGAGACCAGGGAGAGACCAGAGAGAGACCAGAGAGAGACCAGGGAGAGACCAGAGAGAGACCAGAGAGAGACCAGAGAGAGAGACTTTAACTTTGAAACATAAAAAATGTTTTCAGTCAGTAGCTGTCCTGATCTACAACAGGGACTTTGTCTGTGAATAAAGTCTGAAACTGAGTCTAAATTGTGAATCACTGAAGTGGCTGTGGTTGAAACCAGCCGCAGGACAGTGCTGAGTCAGAGTCAGATCCTACAACCACAGAACCACAGGGAGGGACCCCCCCGGGACCCCCCCACCAAGAGGGTCCGACCCCCCACCACCAGGAAGGAGGGACCCCGACCTCAGACCCTCTGGGCTGGATTTATAACTGAAATAACTTGGTATAAGCAAAAAACCTGCAGATGTAAAGATTGTACTTTGAGACGAACCCAAAACAGCCTCAGTCCTGGGTCTACAGCCTCAGTCCTGGGTCTACAGCCTCAGTCCTGGGTCTACAGCCTCAGTCCTGGGTCTACAGCCTCAGTCCTGGTCTACAGTCTCAGTCCTGGGTCTACAGTCTCAGTCCTGGGTCTACAGCCTCAGTCCTGGGTCTACAGCCTCAGTCCTGGGTCTACAGCCTCAGTCCTGGGTCTACAGCCTCAGTCCTGGGTCTACAGCCTCAGTCCTGGGTCTACAGCCTCAGTCCTGGGTCTACAGCCTCAGTCCTGGGTCTACAGTCTCAGTCCTGGGTCTACAGCCTCAGTCCTGGGTCTACAGTCTCAGTCCTGGGTCTACAGCCTCAGTCCTGGGTCTACAGCCTCAGTCCTGGATCTACAGCCTCAGTCCTGGGTCTACAGCCTCAGTCCTGGGTCTACACTCTCAGTCCTGGGTCTACAGCCTCAGTCCTGGGTCTACAGCCTCAGTCCTGGGTCTACAGCCTCAGTCCTGGGTCTACAGCCTCAGTCCTGGGTCTACAGCCTCAGTCCTGGGTCTACAGCCTCAGTCCTGGGTCTACAGCCTCAGTCCTGGGTCTACAGTCTCAGTCCTGGGTCTACAGCCTCAGTCCTGGGTCTACAGCCTCAGTCCTGGATCTACAGCCTCAGTCCTGGGTCTACAGCCTCAGTCCTGGGTCTACAGCCTCAGTCCTGGGTCTACAGCCTCAGTCCTGGGTCTACAGCCTCAGTCCTGGGTCTACAGCCTCAGTCCTGGGTCTACAGCCTCAGTCCTGGGTCTACAGCCTCAGTCCTGGGTCTACAGCCTCAGTCCTGGGTCTACAGCCTCAGTCCTGGGTCTACAGCCTCAGTCCTGGGTCCTGGGACCTGCTACAACCACGCCGTGCGCAGTGAGTTACCAACGTGGACACACACCACAAGCACACGGATTGACATCGTATCTGTCAGTAACTGTGAGCGATCCGGGGAATGTAATATTGGGGGTTTCTCCTGATATAATACAAGCTGAGCTTTCCCGTGGCCGCTCTGAGGTACCATTACATCAAGATGTGTCATCGGGTACTTCCATAGAAATATCAAACACTGAATTACCTTGTCTGGAGACCGCAGAAACTCGATTAAATAAACCCAAAAGAGCTAAAGAAAATGGGCCATTGTCATGTGACCAAGCGCACCCACTCCATCCATCCGCGTTGTGTCATTCAGTTGCTTATAATAAACAACGCCAATACAGACTATTTCAGACTGTAAATCACGCTAAAGTACTGTGGGACCCGAAAGTCAAGCCCAGAGGTGTATTTGGGGGGCACTTAAACATAAGAAGTGTTGTGCCCAAGTCAGAACAAATTGAACAGCTGCTGACTGAATCAAATCTGGACTTTGTGGGACTTTCAGAGACATGGTTGAAACCTTCCATCTCAAATACAGTTCTCCATATCCCGGGATATAATATATACAGGCGTGACCGTGGATATGGCAAAGGAGGCGGAGTAATGCTTTATGTTAAGGACCATTTTCAGTGTTCTCAAATAGATACAGTAGGGGATGCCTTGGAATGTGTGGGAGTGAACATTCGACTGTCTCCTGAAATGTCATTTGCTGTCATTGTGTTATATAGACCTCCTTCAACTAATAATGAATTTTTTGACCACCTAAGTGATATTTAAAAAAAAAATAACTCAAAAGAAGTCCTTCTTTTGGGGGATTTTAATATTAATTGGTTAGATAAGCAAGCCAGAAGAAAATTAAAAGAAATGACCCATAAATTCAACTTTATGCAAATTATTGAAAAACCAACTCGGGTTACAAAGACATCGCAAACACTTATTGACTTAATTTTCACAAACTTTATTTTAACTATAGGCCCATTAGTTTACTACCTGTAGTATCAAAAATATTAGAAAAAGTAATCATAGAGCAGTTAACGGAACATCTAAACGATAATAATGTTTTGCATCAAATGCAATTCGGTTTTCGCAGACATCATTCCACTGATGCTGCCTGCTGCTACCTGACAGAGAGCATCAGGGCCGGCATGGACAAGGGGGGCACGGTGGGTGCCGTGTTCTTGGACTTACGAAAGGCCTTCGACACGGTAAACCACTGTGTCCTCCTGTCCCGGCTTGCTCAGTGTAATCTATCCAGTGAAGGACTGGAGTGGTTCCAGTCATACCTTACTGACCGGGTGCAGTGTGTGAGAACAAATAATGCAACATCCTCTTTTAAACCTTGCACAACCGGGGTCCCACAAGGGTCAATCCTGGGGCCCTTGCTGTTCAGCATTTATATAAATCACCTCCCTGATGTGTGCAAAGACCTGGATATAATTATGTATGCAGATGATGCCGTCATCTTCACACATGGAAGGGATATGCAGACAGTGGCCTCAAAGTTGTCTTCAGTATTGGACAAAATCCAAAATTGGCTCCAATCTTCATGCCTGACATTAAACACTAGTAAAACAGTTGGCATGTATTTTCATAAAATAAATAATACTAAAGAGATGCCTAACATATATGTAAATGGAGAGGCACTAAAAAATGTAACGGAAACAAAATACTTAGGGCTCTATTTAGACCAAACACTGACATTCAAAAAGCATGTTAAAAAAGTAACCAACACAATTAAATATAACATTTCCTCTCTAAAGCATATGAGGAACAGCCTGACAGTCGAGGCGGCTTTCACTTATTTCAACGCCATGATAATTCCTCACTTTACTTACTGTTTATCTAGCTGGTCGCAGGCAAAGGAGACCACGCTCAAACCACTCAGATCTGTGTACAATCAGGCTTTAAAGGCACTTGACAAAAAACCACTTCGTTATCATCATTGCAATATCCTGAGTAAGTTCAAACTGCTCAGTTTTGACAATATAATTCTATATAATAATCTAAGAACTATATTCAAAATCACTAATAATACAGCTCCACCACCACTGAAGAACTTTGTCAGACTTTGTTCTGAGCAAAATACGAGAGCCACTCGGTCCACTGCAAATAAAAACTGTGTAATCCCAAAAAGATCCTCGGCCTTTGCACAATGTGCCTTCTCATTTCGCTCCATTAAACAGTGGAATGAGCTTCCAGACTGTCTGAAACTGTCTGTAGATCATAATAGTTTTACTCGAAATTTGAAAAAGTATATTTTAGATCATCAATCGTGTCAGCATTGATGAATGTATTGTAAACTGTAGGGATTGTTTATATGTTTTTTTAGAAGTGTACAGAAAACTAATGTATTTTATATAGTGATTTTATTGTAGATTAGATTTATAGATTGTAATGATGTTTGTACTCACCTGTCCAGGGACTGCAGATGGAAAATAGCTACTTTGCTAAATCTGGTACAAATCATCTCTTCTTTTGTAAAGACTAATGGTTTTGTACACTGTCCCTGTTTCAATAAACAATAAACTATAAACTATAAACTACAGCCTCAGTCCTGGGTCTACACTCTCAGTCCTGGATCTACAGCCTCAGTCCTGGGTCTACACTCTCAGTCCTGGGTCTACAGCCTCAGTCCTGGGTCTACAGCCTCAGTCCTGGGTCTACACTCTCAGTCCTGGGTCTACAGTCTCAGTCCTGGGTCTGCAGCCTCAGTCCTGGGTCTACAGCCTCAGTCCTGGGTCTACAGCCTCAGTCCTGGATCTACAGCCTCAGTCCTGGGTCTACAGCCTCAGTCCTGGATCTACAGCCTCAGTCCTGGGTCTACACTCTCAGTCCTGGGTCTACAGCCTCAGTCCTGGATCTACAGCCTCAGTCCTGGTCCACAGCCTCAGTCCTGGTCCACAGCCTCAGTCCTGGGTCCACAGCCTCAGTCCTGGTCCACAGCCTCAGTCCTGGGTCTACAGCCTCAGTCCTGGGTCTACAGCCTCAGTCCTGGGTCTACAGCCTCAGTCCTGGATCTACAGCCTCAGTCCTGGATCTACAGCCTCAGTCCTGGGTCTACAGCCTCAGTCCTGGGTCTACACTCTCAGTCCTGGGTCTACAGCCTCAGTCCTGGGTCTACAGCCTCAGTCCTGGATCTACAGCCTCAGTCCTGGGTCTACAGCCTCAGTCCTGGATCTACAGCCTCAGTCCTGGGTCTACAGCCTCAGTCCTGGGTCTACAGCCTCAGTCCTGGATCTACAGCCTCAGTCCTGGGTCTACAGCCTCAGTCCTGGGTCTACAGCCTCAGTCCTGGATCTACAGCCTCAGTCCTGGGTCTACAGCCTCAGTCCTGGATCTACAGCCTCAGTCCTGGGTCTACAGCCTCAGTCCTGGGTCTACAGCCTCAGTCCTGGATCTACAGCCTCAGTCCTGGTCCACAGCCTCAGTCCTGGTCCACAGCCTCAGTCCTGGGTCCACAGCCTCAGTCCTGGTCCACAGCCTCAGTCCTGGGTCTACAGCCTCAGTCCTGGGTCTACAGCCTCAGTCCTGGGTCTACAGCCTCAGTCCTGGATCTACAGCCTCAGTCCTGGGTCTACAGCCTCAGTCCTGGGTCTACAGCCTCAGTCCTGGATCTACAGCCTCAGTCCTGGGTCTACAGCCTCAGTCCTGGGTCTACAGCCTCAGTCCTGGGTCTACAGCCTCAGTCCTGGGTCTACAGCCTCAGTCCTGGATCTACAGCCTCAGTCCTGGGTCTACAGCCTCAGTCCTGGATCTACAGCCTCAGTCCTGGATCTACAGCCTCAGTCCTGGGTCTACAGCCTCAGTCCTGGATCTACAGCCTCAGTCCTGGGTCTACAGCCTCAGTCCTGGATCTACAGCCTCAGTCCTGGGTCTACAGCCTCAGTCCTGGGTCTACACTCTCAGTCCTGGGTCTACAGCCTCAGTCCTGGGTCTACAGCCTCAGTCCTGGATCTACAGCCTCAGTCCTGGGTCTACAGTCTCAGTCCTGGGTCTACAGCCTCAGTCCTGGGTCTACAGCCTCAGTCCTGGATCTACAGCCTCAGTCCTGGGTCTACAGCCTCAGTCCTGGGTCTACAGCCTCAGTCCTGGGTCTACAGCCTCAGTCCTGGGTCTACAGCCTCAGTTGCTAGGACGGTTGCTAAAGCAAGCTGGAATTTCCCCTGAAAAGCCCAGTCTCAGTCCTTTGACATGGAAGTCATTAGGAGCCAGACTTCACTATGAGCAGTTACCCTACACCTCTGACCTCTGACCCTACACCTCTGACCTCTGACCCTACACCTCTGACCCTACACCTCTGACCTCTGACCCTACACTTCTGACCTCTGACCCTACACCTCTGACCTCTGACCTTACACCTCTGACCTCTGACCCACACCTCTGACCCTACACCTCTGACCCTACACCTCTGACCTCTGACCCTACACCTCTGACCTCTGACCCTACACCTCTGACCTCTGACCCTACACTTCTGACCTCTGACCCTACACCTCTGACCTCTGACCTTACACCTCTGACCTCTGACCCACACCTCTGACCTCTGACCCACACCTCTGACCCTACACCTCTGACCTTACACCTCTAACCTCTGACCTTACACCTCTGACCTCTGACCCACACCTCTAACCTCTGACCTTACACCTCTAACCTCTGACCCACACCACTGACCCTACACCTCTGACCTCTGACCTTACACCTCTAACCTCTGACCTTACACCTCTGACCTCTGACCCACACCTCTAACCTCTGACCTTACACCTCTAACCTCTGACCCACACCTCTGACCTCTGACCCCATGTAACCCTGTGGTCTAAGTCTTGTCAATTTCACCAAAATCATATTTAATTTGTTAGTATTGACTGGTATTTTATTTAAGTTTATTTTCTTTAAATCGAGGCTTTTATTTTGGCGGTGTCGCACTTCCTGTGGGTTCGCGGGTTCCCCTCAGTTGCTGGGAAGAAAGCAGAGGGGGGGTGAGCAGCAAAATCTCTCGTGATTCAAATTGTAAAATAACTGATATAAAGTTGATTGAGGTAAAATTCTTTTTGTTTATGTTTACAGAAAATGTGTGAAATAGCGTTTTTGTCAAAGTATAGCACTTTGACAAAGCCAGTGTAAGCTAGTGAGCACGGTCTCACTGTTGTCTGTGGCACTGTCTGTAGGTCTGTGTCAGGGACTCCGGCCCCTCACCGTACAGCCTCTGCTCTGGTGGAAGTGCTGCTCGTGCACAGGCCAGAGATTCCTGTTGGCTCATCCTGCTCCCATCCTGACACCTGCATGTGCCGCCTCCTTCTGTATGGTTTGGTTTGGTTTGGTTTGGTTTGGTTCGTCCATGTTTGTTTTGGTTTATTTACTACACACTATTCAACACTACAGACGCACTCACTACAGACTTCCACACCTCATTAAAATATTAACTTTGGTTATTAATAAACATAACCATAACAACATAACAACATTGTGTGGCGCGTTTCTGTCATTTCCACTGAGCCCAGTTATGACAGACTGGGCTGTACCGGATTTAGAGTTCTATGTTTCACAGTAAACTCCCCGAATGATGAACCCCTGTGTCTGGATTGATTCTTGACGTATCTACCCGCACAACACACAACACACAACACACCACACACCACACACAACACACAACACACAACACACCACACACAACACACCACACAACACACAACACACCACACACCACACACAACACACAACACACCACACACCACACACCACACACCACACAACACACAACACACCACACACCACACACAACACACAACACACCACACACCACACACAACACACCACACAACACACCACACACCACACACAACACACAACACACCACACACCACACACCACACACCACACACCACACAACACACCACACACCACACACAACACACAACACACCACACACCACACACCACACACCACACACCACACACCACACACCACACACCACACAACACACCACACACCACACACAACACACAACACACCACACACCACACACCACACACCACACACCACACAACACACCACACACCACACACCACACACAACACACAACACACAACACACCACACACCACACACCACACACAACACACAACACACAACACACCACACACCACACACCACACACCACACACCACACACCACACACCACACACCACACACCACACACAACACACAACGCGGAGAGGCCGGCTACACCTCTTAGATTTTAAGTATTTCTAAATTCATGTTTTGTTTCTTCTTTGTTTGTTTTTTTATGGTGAGAATCTGTCAAAGAATAAACACAAAACAACAATAACATTTATTTATTTATTTATTTGTTTCAATTGTGGACAAAAACAATACTACACATATTACAATTACATTTCAAATAATTGTCGTCTTGTCTCACAAATGAAAAGGAGCAGAAAGAAGAAAAAAAATCTTATGTTGCCTGCCCCTTTCTTCATACATGTACAAATTAAATTTTAAACAAATTTAAAAAAGAAAAAAATAAGATGGCCTTTAGCACTTCTTCAAACTGTTTTTATTTGATGTGTTTTTGTTTTCATAATTCTTTGTTTTTTATTGTTTTTTTCTAATCATTCATTTCGTACGATTTCACTGTTGTTGCTTTGATTTTTTTCTTAAACATGTGGATGTTTGCGGATTTTTTTATTTCATAGTCAAGTTGATTCCATAGTTTTACTCCGACCACTGATATTCCCATGTGTTTCTGGTTCTGGCAAAAGGGACGCAGAAGTGTAACTTCCTTCTACTGTCCTGGTTGATATTGAGAGAGAAGAGCTGTTATACAGCTGCTGTAGAGCTGTTGTAGAGCTGTTGTAGAGCTGCTGTAGAGCTGCTGTAGAGCTGTTGTAGAGCTGTTGTAGAGCTGCTGTAGAGCTGCTGTAGAGCTGCTGTAGAGCTGCTGTAGAGCTGCTGTAGAGCTGCTGTAGAGCTGTTGTAGAGCTGTTGTAGAGCTGCTGTAGAGCTGCTGTAGAGCTGTTGTAGAGCTGTTGTAGAGCTGCTGTAGAGCTGCTGTAGAGCTGCTGTAGAGCTGCTGTAGAGCTGCTGTAGAGCTGCTGTAGAGCTGCTGTAGAGCTGTTGTAGAGCTGCTGTAGAGCTGCTGTAGAGCTGCTGTAGAGCTGCTGTAGAGCTGCTGTAGAGCTGCTGTAGAGCTGTTGTAGAGCTGCTGTAGAGCTGCTGTAGAGCTGTTGTAGAGCTGCTGTAGAGCTGTTGTAGAGCTGTTGTAGAGCTGCTGTAGAGCTGTTGTAGAGCTGCTGTAGAGCTGCTGTAGAGCTGCTGTAGAGCTGCTGTAGAGCTGCTGTAGAGCTGTTGTAGAGCTGCTGTAGAGCTGTTGCAGAGCTGCTGTAGAGCTGCTGTAGAGCTGCTGTAGAGCTGCTGTAGAGCTGCTGTAGAGCTGCTGTAGAGCTGCTGTAGAGCTGCTGTAGAGCTGCTGTAGAGCTGTTGTAGAGCTGCTGTAGAGCTGCTGTAGAGCTGTTGTAGAGCTGCTGTAGAGCTGCTGTAGAGCTGCTGTAGAGCTGCTGTAGAGCTGTTGTAGAGCTGTTGTAGAGCTGCTGTAGAGCTGCTGTAGAGCTGCTGTAGAGCTGCTGGCAGCAGAGAGTCTCTGGCTTTGTACATCACACTGAGTGACTGTAGTGTGAACAGTTTTGATTGTATGAATAGGTTGTTTGTGTGTTCTCTTGAGTCCACTTCATGAATGATTCTCACTGCTTTTTTTGTAAGAGGATTAGAGGATGTATGGTGTGTTTGTGTGTGTTTCCCCAGACTTCTACACAGTCGGTGAAATGGGGCAGTATCAGGGTTCTGTACAGGAGCCTTAGGGCTTTATGATCCAGTGAATGTTTCACTTTGTGCAGTACCGAGATATTTTTTGATATTTTTCTTTTTACCTGATTTACATGGGATTTCCAATTTAATTTCTCATCCATTGTCACTCCCAAAAATGTTATTTCTTGTACTCTTTCAATTTTTGTGCTATTTATTGACACCTGGACGTCTGTGTTACTGTTATTGTTTGAAAACACCATGAATTTCGTTTTGCTTATATTTAATGATAATTTATTCTCATCGAACCATGTTTTTATTTTGATCATTTCCTCTTCCGTCGTCCTTGTTAATTTTTTTATATTATCTCCTGATAGAAAAAAATTTGTGTCATCTGCAAATAAGACTGATTTAAGTTTTGATGAGACACATTTCCATCTGTTCCAGTTGTTACGTAACACACACTGACTCGTTACCGCAATTGTGTAGTGAAGGATTTTAACTGGCTTAAGACATGGCTTTAGCTTGTTATCCCCTCCTCACCCCAGGGCAGGACATCACTGTCAAACAGTTTCAGGAGTCCAGTCCCAGCAGGAGGCCAGTCCCTGTGCTCCTCAGAGTCCCAGCAGGAGTCCAGTCCCTGTGCTCCTCAGAGTCCCAGCAGGAGTCCAGTCCCTGTGCTCCTCAGAGTCCCAGCAGGAGTCCAGTCCCTGTGCTCCTCAGAGTCCCAGCAGGAGGCCAGTCCCTGTGCTCCTCAGAGTCCCAGCAGGAGTCCAGTCCCTGTGCTCCTCAGAGTCCCAGCAGGAGTCCAGTCCCTGTGCTCCTCAGAGTCCCAGCAGGAGTCCAGTCCCTGTGCTCCTCAGAGTCCCAGCAGGAGGCCAGTCCCTGTGCTCCTCAGAGTCCCAGCAGGAGGCCAGTCCCTGTGCTCCTCAGAGTCCCAGCAGGAGTCCAGTCCCTGTGCTCCTCAGAGTCCCAGCAGGAGTCCAGTCCCTGTGCTCCTCAGAGTCCCAGCAGGAGTCCAGTCCCTGTGCTCCTCAGAGTCCCAGCAGGAGTCCAGTCCCTGTGCTCCTCAGAGTCCCAGCAGGAGGCCAGTCCCTGTGCTCCTCAGAGTCCCAGCAGGAGTCCAGTCCCTGTGCTCCTCAGAGTCCCAGCAGGAGTCCAGTCCCTGTGCTCCTCAGAGTCCCAGCAGGAGTCCAGTCCCTGTGCTCCTCAGAGTCCCAGCAGGAGGCCAGTCCCTGTGCTCCTCAGAGTCCCAGCAGGAAGCCAGTCCCTGTGCTCCTCAGAGTCCCAGCAGGAGGCCAGTCCCTGTGCTCCTCAGAGTCCCAGCAGGAGGAGGCCAATCCCTGTGCTCCTCAGAGTCCCAGCAGGAGTCCAGTCCCTGTGCTCCTCAGAGTCCCAGCAGGAGGCCAATCCCTGTGCTCCTCAGAGTCCCAGCAGGAGGCCAGTCCCTGTGCTCCTCAGAGTCCCAGCAGGAGGCCAATCCCTGT